GCAGAGGTCTCAAAAGACGGACAAGAGAGCAGAGTGCAGCAAACTTATCGAGGCTGCAAAGAAAGCACTTACCGAGAAGCCGGAAAAGCGGGATAGCTCAGATCCATCGGATAGTTAGTAAGAGTTATAAATAGCAGCTGCAGATTATTTGTCAAGAAAGTACTTATTCGAAAGCCAACAAAGCAGAAATGTCAATTCCATCGGATGGCTAGCAATAATCATAGATTTTAGCTGCAGATGAGTTGTCAAAACAATATTCGTTTGAAAGCCAAAAAAGCGGGATATCTCAGATCCATCAGATGGTTAGTGAAAGTTATAAATAGCAGCTGCAGATGATCCGACAAAAAAAATCGGTTGAAAGCCAGAAAAATGGGATATTTCAGATCCACCGGATGGTTGAAAAAAACTCAAGATGGTCAATCATAAAGGAGCAGCGATGCAACATATCAAACATATTAAGGCTGCCAAGCATAATTTGCCGGGAAGCCGAAAGAACGGGATATCTTCATTCCATCGGATGGTTCAAGGAAAGCCTAGAACGGTAAACGATGCTAGCGAATGGATGGTTCTTTTGTTTACATTACACGCATGTCAGTTGACCTGTCAGATTCGATTATGACATACTTGACAGTCTAGGGAAAATCATACGAATTTTGAAACTGTGAAATGAGTGGATGAAAGGTATATAAAGTCCCCCTTTTTGATTGACTCCAACCCCCAGCACCCATATCTCATTCCAACCATCTTCCACTTGTCATTCAAGACCCACTTGTCATTCAAGACCCACTTGTCATTCAAGACCAATTGCCATCCCACCAACATCACGAATTTCTCACAAGACAATACTGGTGGCTTTCAAATGCAAGCAAACATGGCATCACTTCACTTCACAAGAAAAGCCTCACAAGTGAAAACGCCAAGTTCTTCTTTGACGCTTCGGGAAATTCTTTGAAAGTTCAATGAACACCATCTCATAGGTGTCTTCGCTCAACCGGCATCATCCACTTCTCGTTTGTGGATCATGGTCAACCGGCATCATCCACATCTCGTTTGTGGATCACGGTCAACCGGCATCATCCTCTTGTCATTCGAGATCCAACTATCGTACAATCAGCATCACGCATATCTCTTTTCAAATCGTCACACAACATTGATCGCGGCAATCAACGCAGGCACGACCGGCATCACTTCATGAAAAGAGCTCACAAATACAAACGATTGAATCGGGCCTGAATCAAGCAAATATCTCCCCGGAAGATTCGAGAAAATCCTTGGAAGATCAAGGAGAGCAGTCGAATGCATCGCTTTTCCCTTTGCCGATGCATACAAGATCGAGATTCGAACGTATCAGCCGAAAAGGTACACTCGTCATCGCCAATACTCAATTCTTTCGACACCGTCACAGCAGCATCATGTTTCTTTTCTGTCCGCCTTCCCAATTTTTTGCATGATCAATCTACTCAACGGTTCCAAAATTCAATTCACAAAGAACTTTCGAGGTCAAGAGGGCATAAGTTGATCATCAATCAAAATGGCGACATGATCATTCTTGCAACATCTTGCGCGACACTTGCTTTCTCATCCTTACGCTATCCTTTCTTGGGATCAAAGAACTCGTTCTTTGCTATTCTCACTCCTCCCCTCACTCCTCCTCTCACACACCCTGAAGCAACATTTTGCTTTGCA